GACAGATATTTAAGAGGTCTAGAACATCCATTTGCACCTTCCACAGGATCATTTTTTTTTTATGTTAAGTCTGTCACAAGTGGGGTTCAACTGTTTTAACCCTTGAATGTTGTGGAAACACGTGTTTAGTGAGCCATAATAGATGATAAATTACAACTAGGTTTTAGTTTCCATAATCACATATACTGTATTTGAAGTTGCCCTGTTCCTACACAAAGCAAAATAGGCAAATTGTCCCATTTTCACAACTTTCCATGATGAAGGGATGAAAAATGAATATAACATTTCCATTAGAGGAGTAAAACAGAATGAAGTGAAATGAGTGTTGATCACTTTGTGTTATAGCACGTTTTGGAAGATCAGTTATTAAACTTTTACTGACTACATGCTTGACAGTTTAAACTTCTCCCTATAGCCAACATAACTCCTCCCAGATGGGGTCCTTTGAAGCTAAAGATTTACAAGATGGAGATCTGTGGGATATAAAACATTCAATTACTCCAAATAACACAGAGGCCTAACCCGCTGTAAGGAGCTGATGCAGGCTGGAGGAGAGGAGAACTTGTATGAGACTAAAAGGTTTGTGTGTGCATTAATGGACAGTGCAGACTCAACAATAAGTCACTTTGTTAGGATTTGTGTTAAATCATACAGCTCCCCTTGCGGCAAGATGAGTCCCCTCCCCTCCACGTATACAGATCAATGCAAGCCCCCCTGATGATGAGCAGTGACCAGATGTGCTCACCTCTGTACGACCACAGAGACCACCTAAGGTTGTTGAAAGTGATCATTCGTGCTCTGATGTCGGGGTCAGTTATTCGTTATTCTCCTGTTTGTTGAGATGTGTGTGCATAGTTGAAACTCGAAACAACTTGGATACATTGCACCCCGTCATTGCCTGGGGGTCCACCCCATTCCCACCCCCTAAAACTGAGTCTAGCAGCCACCAATGCAGTTTTTATGCAAAACAATTCAAGAATGAATCTTACTTTTAAACCTTAGCTAGCGACATGGAGTTTAAATATACTTCTTAGCTGCCTACTAGCTTGCGAGAAAGCAAACATGTCCTAGTATCAACTTACCACAAAGCCATACGGTCCTTGGGATAGTTAAGGCGCTCAATATTACCGAGGAAATACGGCAGAGAGTGCTCGGAGTTCCTGCAGATGAGGGCGACGAGGACCCGTGGCGCGAGGAGCTCAGACTCGGGGCTCCAGCGCTCCTCAGCGAAGTATCCGCGAGCCGGAGAGCAGCCGGACAGCAGCAGGAGCACGGCGGCGGGGAGCCAGGCGAGCCCCGGCATTGCGGCAATAAATTAAGAAATATATATAATATAATTAATCTTGCTACAGTTGTGTCTCCTGATGAGACACTGCTATATAAAAGGCGTCTCTTTACTTTGCGCGGTCATTGCAGAAAAAAGGGAAATCTCTTCAGCAGCTCCTGATGTGACAACGCTGCAAAGTTGAGCATTAAAAGGGATGGGGTAGTCTTAAAGGGGATGGACTATGGAGTATGATAGCTCAGGAAAAACCAAGAGGCAAACGTTCAATTCACTTTTTATTTGTCCAAATTGCTAATGAAAACACGTTGTAAAAGGCGTTTCAGAAATGCACTCAAATACAGTGTATTAATTATAACGTTGTCAGAAGAATTAACTGTTGATCTGGACTGCACAAGTGAGTTTTATGAATTTCCTGAACTTCAAAGCCAAAAAAGTCTAACTTTAAAGATCTTCCCCATACATATTTTTGTCAATGAAATACTCTGCATCAGTTAATGATTTGGTGTTTTTTTACAAGGGGTTTTCACAACAAAATAAAGTAGATTTTTCTTAAAATTACACCAACTCATTCTCCATTGAGAGTATTTAGACAGTGCAAGATATCTCCATACCTGAAGTCCATTTTCACTTTATTTTAGCTGTATTCTTCAAATAACTAATATCAAACTATGCTCATACTGTGCATTATTCTTTACAGTTATGTAAAAATAAGGAAAATAAAAACACATTTTGAAGGGGAGGGGGACTTTAAACCGTACTCAGAAAAAGCTACACCTCAGGCACACCAACCACATTCCAATAAGTGCTGATTCCTATGACTGAGATAACAAACATATATCACATTTTTAAATCATCTCCATATCCTGTCACTATTTCACCTATGTAAAGGAATACCACTGTCATGTGCACTTTTTTCCAGTTTCTACTTTCAGGTTAGCTTCCTGCCTTCATTTATCCGACGGGCATCTTTATAGTTTGGCCCCTGAGCCTAGCCTCTCTACCTGTATGGTTAAGGAAGAAGCTGCGGGGTCATCGACTAGCCAAAACAGCTCGCCATTAGTCGGGACAACGCGAGCCGCTGGATAAGCTGGACCTTCTCTACCCTCCAGCACTTCCTGAAAGAAAATTGTTACAGTTAGAATTCAACAGCACTAAACTTTCATATAGCGGTTTTTATATTTTTGTATTCTAGATTTATGTTTGCCTGTATTTTTATTTAATCCAAATATTTTTGCACCCACCCATATTCCTTATAAGATAAGGCTTTATTCGTCCCGAAGGAATTGGCTGTGCCAGAGTTACACGAATACAATAAACACAGCGGCATAATAAAAAAACTGTACACTAACAGTGCAGATTAACCTTATTCTGATTGTGTTGATGACTCAGCAGTTTAAATCATGTTTCAGCCTGGTCAGTGGGTAATACCACTCTTGACCCAATAATTATTGTAACAGAATAGAGGCATATATTTGTGGTCAAGCTAACGATCCTGTAACCTTTGGCAACTGTAACTGCTGAGTCATGTACATAAACCTACATGAAAGTAATTTCAATCATTTTGTGCATGTTTTTTGTTTCTGCAACAATTCAATTTTTTTTTTCCCACCCCATAATGACTGGGTTTGTAACTAAATATGGCCTAGTAATAATCTATTATGCCGTGGAAACATAGGGTTTTAAGATTATGAACATGATTTAGAGAAAGGCTGCAAACAATACCTTCAGAACGGGCGCTTTGCTTCCTCCTGTTGACACAAAAGCCACACAGCGTGCAGAGTTCACCACAGGAAAGGTCATAGTTACACGCTGTGGCGGTGGTTTGGGAGAGTCGCTGATGGGGGCCACAATCTTCTTGGTTTCCTAAATATGGGGTACACCAAAACCCAAACATTCATCTTCTGTAAAGTACACAGTCGCCAAAAAGAGTCAGTGTGTGAACCGCAACCAAAGAATGTACTATGACTTTCAAATATATGATGTGTAATGAGTCAGAGTGCCTCAAAGACATGTTAAAAGGAACGGCCGTGCAGACTCAATAGTTCAAGTTGTGCCTTAATTAAAATCTATCAATTATCTATACAGTGTCAGGGGAGTTTCTTGAAATGTAAAGGCAGAACACACATGGTTCTTTTAGATCAGCACATCAGGGACCACATCAATGATGAAACCTTTGTATAAGCCTATATTACAGAAACATTTGCATGCACATAAACGTGTAATTAAGTCAAAGTTATAGACCATCCTGAAATAGAGTGTCACTGTCCAACAAGGTTTATCCTCCAGATGTATAATTTAGTTTTAGGTTCATAATGATGGTCCAAAATATGAGAAGCTTTTAAATAAAACATTAAAAAAGTGGCCAGGGTAGGGATGTATTTATGCCCCCATGACAAGACTATGATGGACATTACAGATTCTTTCTGTATGTTTGTTTCTCTTGAGTACGGCCCTCACCTCCAGGAGAGGGTGGTCTGGGAAGAGGGAACAGGTGTGTCCGTCAGGCCCCATACCTAGCAGTAACAGGTCAAACACTGGGAACTTATCATCTGGGAAGGCCTGTTTGTTTGGAAGCAACAAAACAATTCTGTAAATATTTTTGCAAACATATTGGTCTGGGAATTTAGAGCCAAAGTAGACCACAGATCTGTAAAAATGTCTGCACCTCTTTCAGTTTGCGGGTATAATCCTCAGCACACTCGTTGACTGGCAAGGAGGAGTCAATGGTTAAGATCCCACTGTCAGGGATGTTGACCTTGGAAAACAACTGACCCTAGGAAAAAACAAAGGGTTACAATTGACCCCAATGTAATTACATATCATACATTAAATGTAGCCAGGACAAACAAGCACACACTGGAACAATTACCTTGTATAGCCCATAGGTGCTCTCAGGATCATCGAATGGAACCAGCCGCTCGTCACAGAAGCCCACCAACCACTTGCTGCAGTCCAGGTCTGGCCGGGCGGGCAGCTCTTTGCCAAGCATGGACACAAGGCTTCCTCCAGAGAGGCCCAAGGTGAACCTGCCATGAGAGGTGATGGCCTTCTCAGCCCGAGATGTCACCAGTTGGGCCAGCACTGGACCAAGCTCCGCTGAGGAGGGGAAGACCACAACTCTTCTGCCAGCCATGAGATAGCTTTCTGAAAAAAGGATTGACTTGTTAGCACAGAAAGAGAAAGAGAGGGGCAATAAAAGGCTTTGAGCAATGTGTAAGGAAGTCAACAACTTCTGCAAGTCATCATGATGTGCCTGTAAAGATTATCCACATACAGTGTTTGTTTATCTAAGATGAAACATATTTTGACTGAAGTTTATCTTGACTAAAGTTTATATTGAAACTGCAATATAAGTAGCCTTTGAGTATTTATGCAAATACTGGCGCTAAAAGCTACAAACCCCAGCTGATTCTGCACGGTAGTGCGGTAGCCAGTATCGAAAATATGTCTTGAAAAGCCGTGCTTATTTCTTAAATAAACCTGAATTTTAAGCAGTTACAATACATGTTCGAAAAATATATCTGTCGTTACTTACTGGTAATCCCAGCAGCAGAATGTGTGGAGGAGTTTTAGTCGGCAAATGCAATTCAACGCACTACTTCCGGAAACTTCACTCACCAGCCAATCATGAAAAAATAAAGAAAACAGCCAATGGCCCGAACTGCATTCTGGTCAGTGTAGTCGCAGACTAAGTAGCTACAACAACATCAATCAATCAAATAAATAGGTAAAAAAATAGGCAATTCACAAAATACCTCAGTAGATTTTGGGAGAGTTTCACACACATTTGAAAGATACTGAAGTCAATAAATAAGCTCTGTCAATACAGCTCGATATTGTAGTTCTGTGTACCGGGGCTATGCTTCCTCCCAGCCGGTAGATGGAAATGACGCCTCGTTTTAACTAGCCTACTTGAGTTTTGAAGAGATTCTTCACGCGTATTTTGCTGGCATGCACAACAGCTCTTTTCGTGTTTTACGTTGCGACCAAATTTCACATTGAACATTTAAAGATCTCTGGTCAACAGCAACAACTCGTTTGCGTGCAACTTGCAGTCAAACCAAAGACTTTAACCATGTCGACAATCTTCTCTTTCCAGACACAGCTCGTTTCCATCATGGACGCGTTATCCAAAACAACTGTAATGGAAATAAGCAAACTGGTCGAGATCGAGTCGAAGATGCTGAAAATTGAGATAACTCGAGGGCGGAACGAAATCTCCTCGCTCACAGAGAAACTGCAGCTGATGGAGAAATTGCTTTATATCGCGCAAGGCAGCAGACAGGACGCAGCAGTATGCGCAGTGGTGAGGGACGGTTCAGAGAAAGGCATTGTGGAGCCTGACAGGACAAGACCTGCCATTAAAAGGTAGACTTGTTGACTACTGTAGCCTGTGAGACGTTAGTGAGTTTGTGTTGTGCTGAAACAATAATTACATCTTCATCATAACTCTTGTAAACAGCTACACCCTGCCTGGTGATTCTAATATAAGTGTATTGCCTCCCAGGGAAAGTTCCTCCACAGAGATAAGCAGTTGGCATCACCTTCAAGAGGAGGAGAATGCCATAGCGGAAGTAAGTTGTACACTAATCATATTGTGTCAATGTAATGTATGATTTCCTTATGTGTAACACTCGTGCACTCATTTTGTTTTTTCATTAGCTCCCAAACCAACTGAGAGATCAGCCAGAACTGATAGTGGTAAAAGAAGAGCCATCAGAGGTGGACTGTGAACCTGATGGGACAAGTGAAAATAGTGAGTATTATATAAATATGTTGTTGCACAGCGATGTTTATGCTGTACAAAAACTGATATTGTGTTGTCAACAGGAAGGGAAGAATTCCAAGACATCCACAGAGGCTCAGAAGTGATGCAGCGTACCAAACCCATGGCAGATTGTCTGCAGCCCCTGTTTACTGACAGCTTTGAGACTATGAGCAGTCAGCCGTCTCTCGCTGTACCAGGGAGGAGGGAAACACAGTGGAATCCACAGCTTACAACTGCACACACAAACCTAGTTGCTGGGAAAAGCCTAGCCCAAAATGTTGCCACTCAAAGCTTAATTGTGCTCAGAAATATGAAGCTTCAACACTTGAGGAACTCAGCTGCTAAGAGGTTTGGATGCTTGCAGTGCGGCAAGAACTTCAGATGCTTTAGCCAGCTAGAAATACACCAGAGAAGTCACACAGGTGAAAAACCGTTCAGGTGCACGCTGTGTGGAAAGAGATACGCACAAAAAGGGCATCTGTACACACACCAGCGCACACACACTGGGGAGAAGCCCTACCGCTGTCCTATTTGCGGAAAAGGCTTTATTCAGAAATGCACTCTTGATATGCATCAGCGTACACACACTGGAGAAAAGCCTTTTGTTTGTATGCAATGTGGCAAGGGCTTTACAAAGAACTATAATCTGAAAAAACACCTTACAGTACATCTAGACCCTAGTTTGAATATGTATGGTAGTGAATCTGGTGTACGGTACCAACATATGGGACATTCATAAATTGAGCTTCCTAAAACAGCCTGTCAAATGTAAACAAACTGCTGTTTGAAATAATGTGTGTATCTTCTTTCCAGATTTGAGTGTGTATCACCTGCTTTAACAATACAAAGGTACAATGTTTCTGCTGCCTACCATTCATATATCAAAGTTCCCCTTCCAAACTGTGCAAACTTGATAGTGTGCTACTACTGTAATACAACAGTTTATGTGAACTGACTTTGACAACTGATAACTGAGACCATGTTGTGACATGTGAAATCTTATGGTTGATAACTATGATACTTTTTTATATAAATATATTTGTATACAAGTAGGCTACCTTGTCTGCATTGGCGCTTGTATAATTTGTATGATGATGATAATAATAAAAATAATGTGCTTTTTGACAAAAAAACTAACTGTAAAAATACATTATTGGTATTACTGTATTATTTATTATCACCACACTGACAATGATTACATATTGACATAATGTGCCACTATTGTGATGTAGCAGTTCCTCCCTGTGGCCGCTGGAGGGCAGTGAACATTCACGTTTGCTACAGGACTGTTTCAACCAACAGAGGTTCTGACTCTAATCTATTTAGTATTCATTCTTTAAATCAGAATCACTGGCAGTAGTAACATTACTTTCATATATATGTCATTCCCACTGAACTATAAAACGTTAGTCTCTACCTCAGTGAAATAACGTTTTTTTCAGACCGTGCTGCGTTCAGGTGCAGCTCGTACATTTTGAAATGCAAGAATACAATTTTCCCACAATGCATCGCGGCACAGCTATATCATTTTATGGAAGAGTAACCGCTGCTCCGCTAGGAATATTGCAAACAGTTAGAAATATTCCCTCTCCCTATCGACATGATGTGCGACACCACGAACCGGAGTTTTCGGGCGCAGTTAGCCGCTGTCCTGGACAAGCTAACGAAGACGGCTCTGGTGGAAATAGGGAACCTGGCTGATGAATGCTCCTCTGTCCTTCACTCCGAGATATCCCTGCACAAAACGGAGAACGAGGCTCTGAAGAAGAGGTGCTACTTGCTGGAGGTCCAACTGAGAGCAGCCAGGGAGGCACAGACCTTTTCTTCCCATGTCAACAGTGTCAGCCGCAGACAGCCTGCAGGTCAGGAGGGTCCAAAATCTGGACAGTTACTCTGGTTTATAGCTGCCTCTGCTACATTAAATATTCATATTGCAATGCTTCTTTGCCCGTTAGCTTCAGACTACCTCCACTTAGTTATGTCCAGCTCAGCACATCCGGTCTAAAACAAAACACTAATGCTGTTGTAAGTTTTTTTACCATCTATAGGATGTCAGAATTTCACACCTGCTTCTTCTTCCAGACCAGCAGCATCTTGCTCCAGCCATTGATGGAGTTTATGGAAAAGACTGGTGCATGGATCTGTGGAGAGAAGAAAAAGCCCCAAGTCAAAGAAAAGCAACAGTGGAGCCTGCTGCTATGACAAGCATGGGGCCCCAGGTCAGTGTTTATACCAACAACTAGCTTTATTTGTTTGTTGACTGAATGACGGTATTTAAAGCTGTTTGTTATGTCTTGTTGACAGGTAATAGACTTAATGGATAGGGAACCTGATCTGATCTTCGTCAAAGAGGAGGTGTATGATGATCATCCCATTGGCCAGCAGATGAGGCTCACAGAAAGCAGAAAAGGTAGGTACATAAATAAACAAAATCCAAAGATTATAATACCAAGTTTCTGTGATTTTACTACATTTGTTCCCATTTGACAGTTGGTGGAATTTTTGACGAGGACAGCATTCTTCATAGATCTGTTGATGAGCTGCAGCTTAACTCAGGGGAATTAAGCAGCTACCCCATGACAGCTGACATTCAAACACAACAACGCCCACAGCCAACCATTATGGACAAGTTGATAGATGATGCAACAATGAGCATAATGGTTGACAACACAAGTTCTTCCTCAGCCACCGCTGAGTACTCAGACTTTTCAAACAATATCCTCATGAATGCCACCAAAGAACTTCCGCCCAAACCTGGGAGGCCAACCAAACAGTTTGAGTGCTTATTCTGTGGGAAGATCTTTAACTATTTGAGCAGTTTGAAAGTCCACATCCGGCGACACTCAGGTGAGAAGCCGTTCAGCTGCTCCGTTTGCGGGAAGCGGTTTGCTCAGAAAACGTACCTGAAACTGCACCAACGCGTGCACTCTGGGGAGAAGCCGTACAGCTGTCCAGACTGTGGCAAAAGTTTTTCCCAGAAAAGCTCTCTGAACATACATATTCGAACACACACCGGCGAAAAACCTTACAGCTGTGTGGACTGTGGGAAATGTTATGCATACAAGTATGGTTTAAATCACCACCAGTGTTTCAATTAACCGATCAAATCACTTCTGCTAAAGTGCTCTCTGTCACGCTCAGTGGCTTAACTTCCCAACTTGAAATTAAACTCAAATGTAGATGAAAGATTAATATTTAAAAAAAACTCCTATCTATATCAAATAAAGGCCTATTACATAGCCTGTATGGGAAATGATGCTGCCGAGTAAATAGTAGTTTGTTTGATGTATTTTTAGATTTGTTGCTAAGAAGACTGAAGACTGTCGTTACTAGTGTGCAGTTTAAATGTTTTTTTGTTGTTTATTTGATGGCTTAGGGTTTTCATTGCTAAATATGTTATTCCCTTAACAAGGTTTTTAATGTACACCCTAAAATAAGAAATACAATTTTTATTATTACTTGTAGAGATTTTTTTACTTTTACTCAACTACAACACCCCCCCGGTTCCTTCCTTATATACCTACTCACACCAAAACAGTCTAGATTGTATTATAGCACTACAGGAAAAGACTACATTGTGATTTGGGGTCAACTGTCCCTTTTTTAAAAGCCTATTTCGCATCATGTTTGATACGTGTCAGATAAAACATATTTGCTACTTACATTTAATGTGAGGTTCTTACCCAAGCTATGAGAGAAAATGCTTCCATTTTTTACTCTGCATGTTGGTTAGAGTGACATTATACATACCTCAGTTCATGCCACACAAGGCCTGGGTCAAATAAAGCCAAATTCATACTTTGGACAATTGCTCCATTGTTTGCACACATGTAGCATAAACCTTCAAAACTACCTCTTCACAATAATGTAGAAGTAATACAACTCCCAATTTGCTTCACTGACTCACCCTTGCTTTATATCTCACATCATGCCTCATTTACTAGTATTGACCTGACTGAAAATGTCTCTTTTAAAAACACTACTTGTGAAATGTTGATGTGTGTTCGTTACATGTTGAGTTCTGGCTCAAATGGTGTTACTGTTTTAAATAAATGTATTTGTTGGGCTGCAGTATGTGTGCAGAAAGACAAATGGTGTCAGTTGAGTCAAATTGTATTGTGTTGGTTTTAAATGTGAACTATTTTCAAGAAATGCTATTATATTCTATACTGAACCGTCACCATACCTAACAAAGCAATTATCTGTATACTTTTTTTTTTGGTAATAAGATTCCCCTGAAAAGACCGCAGTGAATTATCTCTGCCTTGTGCTGTTAAGGTTCAAGGCTTTTATTGGTCATACGTACATAGCTACAGTGTAGTTATAACGATGAAAATGTAGGTCACAGGGTCCTCCAACAGTGAAACACAATAAAACAGACAATCAGAACAACATAGTGCAAGTACATAGTAAATACAAAAAGAAAAATTGTAAAAAAGTCTAATAAGTGATTGGAATGATATATTAGATAAATCATTTCTAAGTAGCAGTCAGATTAATGTTATGATGTTGTTTCAAGTTCCGGTGTTTAATAGTCTTATTGCCTGTGGGATGAAACTGTCCCTGAGTCTGATGGTTTTAGTCCGGATGCTGTGGTAACCCCCCCTTTTCACTAACTGCATGCCTTTTAAAGAGCTGCATCAGATGTGCACTTTCTCAGGTAATAAAAGTACGAAATGAAAAATGGCAAGACACCACTGATAAAACCGAATATTCAAGTTGAAATGAAGTTTAGATTAGACACAACATTATTGATATTTTAAAAAGGAGAGGTCTGTCAAATAAAAGTTTAATAAAATGAACATTCGTGGCAAAAACAGAAATAACTAAACAGTCCATCCGTCCATCCATCTTCAAGTGAACTCCTTCACTCGACACTAGACAGTGACTTGCTTAATACTTGTTTTTAAAAACTCCTGTAGATACTACAAGTCTACATACATGACATTATCTCACATCACTAATGTAAGAAGTAGAACATAAGGTATTCGTAAAAAAAAAAAAAATATGTTGTCCTCACACCACAATCAAGGCGTTATACCTTCAAGATGTGTCCAGACTATCAGACCTGATGATCTTTGTTTGCCTTTAAATGATGGCCTTTTGGGTGAATGTCTTCCCACATGTAATACAGTGTAACGGTTAATCTCCCGTATGGACACGTAGGTGAGATCTCAGATTGCTTTTCTGGTTGAACCTTTTTCCACAACTGCACTTGTATGGTTTCTCTCCAGTGTGGATTCGATTGTGAGTCCTCACAGCTGATGGGCTTACAAAGGTCTTCCCACAGAACTCACATGATCTACCGTCTCCGTCAGGTTGAACCGGAGTAATGGAGATGTGCGACTTGCACCTGCGAGTTACATTCTGCTCACAAATATAGCAAAAGTTTGACTCGTGGGACTTCATGTGCATTGTTAGACTGCGCTTGTGGAAGAAAGTCTTTCTTCCACAAGCGCAGTCTAACAATGCACATGAAGTCCCACGAGTCAAACTTTTGCTATATTTGTGAGCAGAATGTAACTCGCAGGTGCAAGTCGCNCTACTTTTTACCCTTTAAACTGGTTGGGTTTTCTCTAGGGTTGGAAGTTTTTCCTTGTACGATGTGAGGGTCTAAGGACAGAGGGTGTCGTATTGTCATACTGATATTCTGTACAAACTGTGAAGTCCACTGAGACAAATGTAACATTTGTGATATTGGGCTATATAAATAAACATTGATTGATTGATTGATAACTGTTTCTATTGGATTATCACAATATCAAATGCAATGCAAATAAAAACAAGAGGAAATATAAAACAATAGGATGTTTTTTTAACAATCCAACCTTGGAAAATAAAAATAAATATATGTATTTCTTATCACAAATGTAACCACTACATTTTTTTTACAAATGCTGTTTAAGCTTAATACATGAATCAGAAGCACGGACTGTATTTTTATTCAATAAAAATGAGGTGTGAACCTAGTGCATTGAAATGTATTTCAAATAAAGACGAATCAAGGTAGCCTAAATATAAACCATAAAGAAATTAATTCAGTACGTCTACCTAAAAATACTTATTTCAAAATGTATTAACACTGTAATCCCGCTAGTCATATCATTTTCTTTTTTAAATGTAACAGTAATCTGATATCGTATTTTTTTATGTAATTGTAATCAATTACAGTTACCTATTGTTTGTGTTCTGATTACTTAATCTTGTTACATGTAATCCGTTTCTCCCCAAGCTGGATACGATACAATACTATACGATAAAATAAGACACATGACGATACCATACCATACGTTTCGACACAGTGAGGACCTTTTGCCGAACTTGGTACTGCAATTCCACAAAAGATAAAAATATATGAACAGATGTATACATTCTGTATATGCAGTACAGATGACCTACTGACAGTAGCGACCTAATGAAGAGCAGTGGTTTCTCTTGGTTTTGGAACAAAGCTCTGATCTGTGTTTCTGATGCAGAGCAGTGAGCGGGACCACGTTTGGCAGAGGAAGAGTTAAATGATTCTGCATCTGTTCCATGCACCCCTGCAATCCCCACAGATCCTGCCTGCGCTCTCCTGCTTTTCCTTCCTCACACCACCCCCCCCTCCTCCTCCTCTCGTCCCCCTTCCTTCCTCCCCTCTCTTGGCCCCGAGCCCAGAGTGAGCAGGAAGGAGGAACAGATTTTTTTGGTCTTTTCTTCCTCCCTCCCAAAAACACTCAGACCGTGAGTTTCTGGTGTTTTTGTTCTCCAGATGTGAAGCGTTGATTTCCTTTGTAATTCCCTCTTATAAACTACATTATGAGGCGGTGTCTTTGTTTGTAAGGACTGTGAACTCATTGGCCTTTTCCACATGGCTGCAGATTATCGTGCCCTAACCACACATCCTTTACTTCAAATCAATCCTCCTCCCAATCTCTCTTTCTTCTTCCTTTGAAAACATCAACGTCTTGTATTTCCCTGCTCTGCTCTGCATTAATACGCTTCAAATGTAAAGTAACTGCTGGTTATTAATTATGCTTTAGTTCATTAGGAGATAATACATTGGATATAAAAGGGAGTTATTAATGACTTAGTTAGTAAATCAGAGATTCAAATCATCAGATTAAATTAAGGTGTAATGCAATTTTTAAATAAAAAATACTTCAGGTTGTTTTAAAAGACTTAAACAAGCTTCTTTAGTTAGTTTTTGATGTTTGCTCCCTTAACATTTTCTATTTATGTACAAATATGGCCGGCCCGCTATGATTGATCAAAATCTTTTGCATTTTGAAAGCTACATTTAACACTATTACATCATAAAGTGGACTTTTACTAAACAAGGTGCTATGGTCCGACATTGTTTTTTGATTAATTTAACCACCTGTTAGTCATATTATCCTTGTTATTGTCAAAGCAGAAGATATCATAAATGTTGTATTACGTACATTTCTACAGGTCTCTTTAGGTCTTAGGCCGGGCAGTTGTCTATATGTTGAAATTAAAAGATAAAACATTTATAAACAAAATGAATGAAGATGAAGAACAAGGGAAACAACGCTGAACAAATAAGTGAATTGACAGGACTACTATCTACACACATATGTAAAAAAATTGTTGTTAATATATGCTTTGAAATTCCCATTAAAAGAACCAATTACCAACAACATAAATAAAATAGTAGAACAGCATATTTAATGATTGTATGAACTTTATGTGAGTTGTGATATACATATTGCAAGAGTGAAATTAATTGTGTGCTAGAATAAACACTGTGTGGATTATAATTTTTATAATAGTTACAGAAGGGGTTTAATGTTCAGTAAATCAGCCTACAATGACAGTATATTATCTACATGTTTTGTGCTGTTATTGCATGTTATATCAAAGTGTATTATGTGTGAACAGTAAAATGATTCAGCGTACAGTATGTTGTAACATATCTTAGCAAAGCTGCACAAGGTGTAATGTTGAGTAGTGATGGTTTAAAGAATCCTGTTCCCACATACATGCTCGTAGCAGTTGGAGCTTTTTTGGACATTTTAATTGTTCACCTACCGGGTGAATCTGTGGGATTTGAGGGAATTTGGCTGGAACTTTTACCTGATTTATTCATTACATTTAAAAGTCTGAAAGTAGACACATGTAGCTGTGCTGTGGAAAACCTTTCTTTTAAGTTGGTTAGGTCGCGTTTTGACATCAAATTAATGATATTCACGATAAAGACATGGAGGTTAGATCTCAGAAGGCTTAGCTGTTTTTGTCAATAAAGGGGGATAATATGAAACAATTTGTAGTTCTCAAAGCTTAACAGTTGTCACTTCTATATTGTGTGGCACTTTTACTTAATAGGAGGGAATACTGAAGAGAATAGATGATAAAATGAAAGCATACAGTACAAATCAATGAATCTCAGCTCTATTTTTGTATTTCTTTCTTCTTCTTCTTTTTTAACCTTTATTTAACCAGATAAAAAAGCATTGAGATACAATCTAATTTACAATGCTGACCTGACCAAGAAGGCAGCAACGTTACACACATAACACAGACATATAAAATACAGAGAATACAAGTAAACAAAAGACGAAAAGCAGTCACTACATTGTGCGCATTTGGGACAGTAAGGTGCACTACTTGCAGCTGGTGGTAAGGACTTCAGACAACTTCAATTTAAAACAGGCTATAGGGACAAGTGCCATCAGTTTGAGGCTTGATTGAAGGTCATTCCAAGACCAAGGACCATAATAAAAAAGACTCCTTTTCCCAACCTCAGTCCGCACGGCAGGTACCTGGAACCGTATCCAGGCACTGGATCTGAGGTTGTAAGAGTCACAAACTGAAGCAAATCTGGCACAGTGGAAGCTTACCTAAAATGGCTTTATACAATGATAAAAACCAAGGCTGCATCCTATACCAAGTGAGGACCTAAGCTATAAGCTATTAAGCTATACAGTTTGCAATGATGAGTCCTATAAGGTGCATTTGATATATAATGCAGTGCAGCCTGATAGAGCGGGTCAAGTTTGGCCAAAACAGTGGGACAGGCAAATCTATAAATGGTATCACCGTAGTCCAGCTGGGACGGGAATAAGCCAGAGACCAACCTTTTACGGGATGAAGTTGAAAAACAACACTTAAGTCTGTAAAGGAAGCCAAGAGTGAATTTCAATTTCTTAGTTAGAACTTCAATGTGGTGTTTAAAGTTTAGATTTCTGTCCAACCAAAAACCCAGATATTTGTATGTATCGACAAACTCAACAGAGGGTGTCAATGGAGAGGCAAGAGGACGCTGACTTGGGAGCAAAAAGCATTGCTTTGGGTTTTCTTACCGTCCAATAGCAGTTTTGAATCAAGAAGCGCATGCTGCAGCGTGATAAAACCAGATTTTAAATTGGAGACGGCCATATCCAGAGAAGGAGCACATGAGTATACAATAGTCTCATCAGCATACATATGATAGGTAGAAAATTGCATCTGATTACAAATATTGTTTACATATAATAAAAAGAGCAAGGGCCCCAAAATAGAGCCCTGTGGAACTCCCTTCTCCAAGGTGACAGGGTCAGAGACAGTACTACCCAACCTGACGCATTGAGTACGGTCGGTTGGATAACTCTGAATCCAGCAAATGCCATTATGACCGAAACGAGACACCAACATAACATTAGACAGAATGTGGTGATCTACAGTGTCGAATGCTTTGGCTAAGTCAATAAACAATGCAACACAAAAAGATTTCTTATCCAAAGCAGCCTTAATATTGTCTAAGACTTTCAGACTGGCAGTCACAGTACTGTGCTTTGATCTGAATCCAGATTGCATAGGGTTAAGGATGTTGTGTGAATTTAAAAAAAGCTTTTCATGCATCAAAACTAGAGACTTCAGAAACCAAGTTAATATCTTTGTTGACAGATGGGTAAATAGATTAGTTATATAACTAACTAGTTAGTTATGTCAATCAGTTTTTATTCCTTTATCTCTTTGTCTT